TTGGAACCAGAGACTTTTGAATGACATGTGGACCCACTGTGTGACCTTGAATTACACCCAGGGCCCTCTGTGACCTTAAACTACACCTGAACCCACTATGGGGCCTCGAATGATACCTAGGCTCACTGTGTTTCCCTGGGCATATCACCTCACTTCTGGGCTTCTCAGTACCTCTCTAAAATGTGGTAAAACAGCCAACTCATACTGCAGTAATATTTTGACAAATAGCAGGGTCTTTCATGAATCCCTTGGGTATTTATCTCCCATGATGTCTGACTCCTTGAGACTCCATCCTTCCCCTTCATTTCTCACCTCTGTCCTATGTAGTGTGCTCAGCACAACACCTGCCTATTCAATAGTCCATAATGTGAAGCAGTTTGCCTACAGTGCCCCCAGAGCTCACGAGGCGAGCTAGAGTAGGTAAGCTCTGTGTGCGCAGGCACATAAAATAAACTTATTCTGTGCCTAAGCATGGGGCAGAGCACTGAATATGCAAGTCGGAAACAATAGCTATGGCCCCCGCCTTGAAGGAGTTTATACTCTATTTCTTGTTACTTTTATTTCCTTGGCATCTAACATATAGTAAGTGCTCAATAAACGTTTGAAGAAATGAAGGGACGTGGGAAAGCGGGAATGGGGAGGTGGGGAGGAGAAGGGAAAAGGTGATCCCCTCCAGGTGATGGAAAGTGCCCCAGATGCAGGCAGAGGTGTGGGATGTGGGTGGGGATGGCTAGGAGGCATGGGGAGGGGTGTGCCCCAGATGGTAGAACACGGAGGACCCAGGCAGATCACATCCATGAACACCAGCACAGACAGGAGTTATTGAGCACCCTGGCAAAAGAAAGTTTGGATTTTGGAGAAGCTTATAACCCAGGACCAGAGGTTGGGTGCTGTCCTGCAGGCAGTGGGGAAGCTGTTAGTTTCTACCCCTTGAAAAGAGTCAGCCATGAGGGCTTCCCCAGTGGTGCAGCAGTTGAGCGCTGGGTTGTGAAGCTGCCCGCGGCCTCTGCGGCGCAGGTTCGATCCCCGGCTGCTCCCCAGCTGCTCCCCGGCCACTGGAAGAGGGTCCCACATGGTGCGCAGACCTCTCCTGCAGCCCGCTGCTCCCCTCAGCAGTGTACTTTGGTCCTTCTGCCTGCTCTGCTCCCCGCTCTGGCTCTGGTGAATTCTCTCACCCTCCTGCGCTTCTGACTGTACCCAGTGCATGTATAACAAAACAAACAAATAAATAAATAAATAAATAAATAAAACATGCCTCTATTAAAAAAAAGAGTCAGCTATGAGACTCAGAGTCTCTTGCTGTACCGCTCAGGCCACACAGATGGCAGGGAACCAACCCCAATGCCCAACATGTGAGTGGAAGAAGAAATTGTGGGATGTGTGCTCAATGGAATAGTACTCAGCTCTGAAAAAGAGATGAAATCATACCTTTGGGAACAATATACATGGAACTTGAGGGACTGTGTTAAGTGAAGTAAATCAGAAAGTGAAAGACAGTTACCAGATGATTTCACTCATGCATAAATAAATAAATCTTTAAAAAAAGAAAAGAAAGAACATACACCCATGGCTTCACACTCTGTTCCTGGGGGGCTCTTGAGTGGGAAGGAAAGGCCTGGATCTGCCCCATGAGTGAAAAGAGAGCAGGTCCCTCCGTCTCCTCTCCATCCACAGCACCTCAACTTTTATCTGTTCTAGATAGTGACAAAACTTATGCTTCTACTTAATAAAGTATCCCATGGACTTCAACCAAAACATATTTTTTCTGATTTCTACTGTACGTACAAAAATTAAAAATCGACTGAAAAAGAAAATTGTCTATCAGAGCACTACCCATTTCCCCCCCAAAAAAAATTTTTAAATAATGTTTAATATTCTTTGGTGGCTTTTGAGAGGACCCCATGTGTTGTTCACCCCCCCAGAGGCATTTCTTCTATAGGAGCCCAAGGGGGTCCGGACAGACAAAACGTAGGAGCCAAAATCTCGTGTGAAGCCTGCTCAGATCCCAATCTGAGACTCCTCCGCCAGGCCTCTCCCTCTCTTCCCCACCCCTCAGGCTCCTTTCTGTAGATTCCAGGTTTTTTCGAGGGGATCTTTTGCCTGCCCTAACTCCTCATGAGACACTCTCCCTCCAAAGTGAAATAGTGACCGCTCAGGGTCCACCTGTCCGGCTCATGTCCTGAGAGCCTCCTCCCAGCCCGGCCCTTCCTCAGAGCCTGCTGTCCATGTGACCAGCCCCTCTCTTCCTCCTGCCACTGCTGCTTCAGCAGTCCAGCCTCACCCCACCCCCATCTACACCTCCATCCTGGGATGCCTGCACCCCAACTCTCAACATCCCCAAGAGGAGGCGAGATTGGGGGTGAGGGGATTGGAACAATGATTCTTTGCAGGCCTCCCTATTAATGGGCATTTTGGTTTTGTTTTAAAGATGTATTTATTTATGCATACAAGAACTGGGGTACAAGCGAGAGGTGCGGAGGGTGAGAGGATTCACCAGAGACGGGGTGGGGAGCAGTGTATTAATGGACATTTTGAAGGCTTGGCCACTGCTTTATTCAGGGTCTCCTCATTATAACCCCTCAGCTCCCAGCTGACAACCTGATAATTCTCTCTGATAACACAATCTTTGACACTGTCCTTCTTGCAAGAAAGATTGTGAGATAAAAGAATGAGCTGTGAAATCACCATTAGAGGACAGAGACAAGGGCCCAGGAAGGAATGTTCTTTCCCCACATTCTCTCTCTCTCTCTCTCTCTCTCTCTCTCTCTCTCTCTCTCTCTCTCTCTCTCCCCTCCCCTCCTGCCTCCCATTCCTCCTCTGCTGGCTTCTCTCCCCTCTCCCCAGCTCCCACCTTTCTCCAGTGCTCTCCTCGCTTCCCTGCTCAGCCCCCTGCTCTTTCTCCAGTCTCTGCACGCTCCCTCCTCGCTCCTCTCTTCTCTCCTTCTCTCTCTTGCTTTGGTGCCAGAAACAGTCTAATTACAACAGAGAACTTGAAGAGACAGAGAGGGGGAAAAAAAAAACCCGGCACACACAGCTGATTAAAATGTCCTATGAAATCTAATTTGTAAAGCTCAAATCAGAATAAAAAGTGTTACTCCCACAATTCAAGGCCAATTTGATTTTTAATGAGACTCCTCAGAGACCAGCCAAGATCTCATCAGGATGTAAACTTGGCTACCTTCACACCTGCCACAAACCCTCTGATGTGGGCCTCTGTGTCTCCTCTTGGGGGGCCTCCACCACCTGCCCTGCCTCCATCCCCAGCGCCCCGAGGCTTCTACTCATTCCCTGCTCAGGGCCATCTGCTGCTCAATATTGGGCTTGTCTGTGGTCCGAGCCTGAGGTTCTGAGGACCTGAGGACCTTGAGCCTGAGGACCCAAGCCAGTGTCTTCTGGCCATCCTCGCCTCTCCTGTGCCCAGCTTTCCTCAGCTGTGTGTCTGCTGCAGAGTGTGGGAAGGGATGGGCTCAGGAGTCATGAACTCCAGATCATGCCCCACCCCACCACTCATCGGCTGTGTGAGCTTAGGCAGATGACTTGGCCTCTCTGATTCTGGTTTCGTTGCTGTAAAAGGGGAATATTTCTGCCCTGAAAAGTAAGTAAGCCGGGGACAGGAGGGTGGCGTGTGAGCACGGATATGCTGTGGGCTGGGAGCTCAGTGCCAGTGTCCCTTGTTCATTCAGCTGTGGCTCCCAAGGAACACATCTCCCCCCTTTTTTAGCAATTCCCTCCGGGACCAGGCTTAAGATCTGCATGTAGCGTAGCTCAGTAGACGAGAACAGTGTTTTTAGAGTCAGAGTGTCCTGGGTTCACAGCCCTGGTCCTGCCACTAGAGCTCCCCGGAATTTAGTTAGCCCTGTGACACGGGTGAAGAAGCCTTGGAGCGTTGCAGGTACTGTACCTACTAGGCCAGGTGTGCCGAGTGCTCGGGAAGTAATGAGCAAGCACGGCTCCTCCAGAGCCTCATTTCCTCATCTGGAAAATGGAAATGAAAATAGTACGTACCTCAACGGTTATTACAAGGATGAAAATAACCATGGGCCAATATTTTAAAATCTTAGAACAATCCCTGGTGAGCTGTGCACCCTGTGGGTATGTTGATTTAATAAAAGTCACTAGCATCGAGGGCTCTGTTCTGTCTTGCTTTGCAGTGTGCATGGGGAGGGCGTGGGGTCACACTGCCGATCCTCCCAAGTGATAGTGAGGCTGCGGGAGGGTCTGCTGCAGAAAGGACAGGGGCAAGGAGGATGAATTGAGATGATTGCTGGCTCCCTCAACCACAACCCCCACCCCCACGCATGGGGGGCCCACACCCCCACCACGCCTCCTTCCAGATTTGGCCCTCAGCCCATCCTAGGAGTCATAATAATATTGTTTCTTGGATTCTCAGGTTATTGTAGTCTTTGAATGTTTCATTTATGTATTTTCTTACGTCTCTGTTAATTTTTGAATAGTATCTGATTTCTCCCCTATAGTTCTTCTACCACCACGGCACCCACGTGGTGCCATCCCTCACCACAGTCCCTTATGCTCTTCCCTCCCATGGATTGTCAGGTTTAAACAAATTACATGATTCCCCACAACCACCCACTGCACTTGTGATACACACCATGCACCCCCCCCCCCACCAACACTTCTAGCTGGAGGCGTCTCTTCTGCCTCTGTGCTGGAGTGTATGTCAAGCAAGAGGCATTAAGTAGGCGCTAGTCCAGTAGCTGGGGGCACGTGTCAGAATGTGTTGTGCATTGTCTGTTTGGGGCTGGAGGATGGCTGGAGTGGTGAGTGTTAGGACTCGATGAGCAGGGAGGCTGGAGCTGGGCGCTCTGGAGAATCAGCTGAGGCCAGGAGGGCAGCTGCTGCTGGGCCCCAGCAGGAAGCAGGGCACTCAGTGGGGGGCCTAGTCCCCTCGTCCACCTGGGCTCTGCTCTGTAACTTGAAGGGAAGCCCTGCAGACACTGCTTCCTGCAAGTAACTGACCACTGTGCTTCTCTCCTTCCTAGGTCAAGTGTACTCCTTCAGCCAGCAGCCCCAGGACCAGGCCGTGGTGTCGGGGCAGCCGGTGACCCTGCTGTGTGCCATCCCCGAATATGATGGCTTCGTTCTGTGGATCAAAGATGGCTTGGCCCTGGGCGTGGGCAGGGACCTTTCCAGTGAGTACTCCTACATGTCCCAGAAAGACTGTAACTCTTACCTGCCTCACCCTCCCAGGGAACCCCCTCTTCATAGGCGTTTGGGAATTAAATCTTCAGCTTTCATTGCAGATCCATGGTCAGAGTGTCAGGCTACGTGAGCCCTGGGTCCAGGCTCCACAGAACCTTCAGGACCTGACAGCTGCTAATGAATTATAAGCACCCTCCTCCCTGGGGGTCAATCCTAACCCTGACAGTGTTGCCCTGCAGGATCTACTCTAGCATCAAACATGAAGCATGTACAGTCAGATTTTCAGAGGTCAAGTGTTCCTGTGCCTTGGTCCAGAATAGAATCCCTGCTAAAGTCACAACCTGGTTCTTCCTGGCTCCCCTGCATTAAAAGGTGCCAAATGGACTGAAAACTCACAGAGAAACCTGGTTGGTTTTAGGGGTCCCCAAGTGACAGGAAGGAAAGCAGTGGCATATACAGTAAAGTGCAACCCTTATTCAGCCTGCCCAGCTGGTACTAAACAGAGATGTGCTGGCGGGCTCCCTGGCTGCTGATGGCTGGCATCTGAGCTTCCTGGCAGGTCCTGACACATCCTCTTTTATTGCCAGTATCAACTCTTATGCCCACACAAAGGTCCTTCCGATCCATCGTCTTCCCCAGGAAGAATGGAATCATCCTCCGGGTCTCCCATCCACCAGTGCTTATGCGGGAGAAGGCATGTTAGGCTGGTGAGACTTGGGCATAAACTGTTAAGCTCAGAACTAGTTTCCATGGCCCCTATGACTGAGGGATGACTAAGAGTAGAAGATGGAAAAAAAATATGGATTCAAGGGAGAATCAGCTTTGCCTCTCTCGTGGTGTACAGCTGCAGGAAAATAAAAATCGAAGTGTACTCAGGAACATGATGGCTGGGAAATTAATATTTTAAAATGTGAGTTATGTCTTGCCAAAAGTATATATTGCAATATTATAGCAAGGGTCAAGCCACATCACAGACTGTGAGCGCTGGCCCAGCTGAACAGTGTAAAATATACAGTAACATCTCAAAATACAGTGCGCTGTCATAAGAGTTAAGTAAAATGGACACCAGGCCAATTTCAGGGACCTGAACTCTCTTGCCCCAGAGAAATTGGGCAACACCTTCCCAAACTGGTCTTGTTTGTCCTCTACTCCACATGCTCTGAACTTGGCCCAGTGCTGTTGCTACATAAGGAGGCTCCCTGGGTTCTAGTCAGTGGCTCTCCCTTAGGTCAGGGACTGGGGTCCTTTTGGGTCAGTGGTCAAGAAGAGACCTCAGGTCACCATGGATTTAACCCCCTCCACCCCCGGCCCACTGATAATTGAGCAGCTGGTAGCCATTCCCATGAGTGGTTTTCTAGGATCCAAGATTGGGGCCCCTAACTGCTGAAGGACAGTGGCTCTGATGAGCTAGGTCTACTTCCTCTCCAGAGTGACTCCATTTATAGAAAGAAGCTTGGCTCCCTCCTTGCAGAGCCAATAAATTCAACCTGCTGGTAAAGTACTTGCTCTGTATTTGATCACTTATCCCCAAAATAGCATCACGACAAGAATGACAAATACTTACCTGTTCAATAAATACTGTTAGCTTGCCTGATGAAAAAAAGGAGCATAACAGAGCTCAATTCAATTCAGTAAGTATTTGCAGAGCACTTAATACTGCACATGTTTTCCTTTGGGGAAACTGAGGCCCAGGTTGTGGAATTTCAGACTGCCACAGCTCTGTTCTCTTGTGTCTTAACTGTGAGGCCCCAGTCAGCCTACCAATAACAAAACCCTGACTTGCCAGAAAGGCTGGAAACACATTTAAGGAAATAACTTCTAAATATGTTCCTGCATATTAATAAAACGTTTTTCTTCTAAGAAGCTCTAGTACTTCTCAGACATTATCTTATAAACCTACAACGATCCATGGAGAGAAAAGGAACTTTTTCTTTTTTTCACAGGTAAACAAAGTCACAGATGAAAAAAAAAAAAAAAAAGATTGATTCAAACATACAATTAATCCCAATGCATTGGGCCCTATTCCTAAGCCCCAGAGAGGGCCCTGTGTGTCTTCTCCCTTCTAAATACAGGGACCTCTTTGACCCCCCACTAGCTTACTGTCCTTTTTTTTTTTTTTTTGACATAGTAGTTATAGACTGTATTGCATGCCATGCACTTTATACAGACTATCCTATCTCGTGTTCACCATACCACTATGAGTTACTAGTATTTTCTCTATTTAGCTAAACAGGAAACAAAAGTCCAAAGAAGTTAAAGTAACTTTCCCAAAACAAAAGTACTAGGGAGTGATAGAACTAGCATTTGAGCTCAGGAAATTTGACATCGGAACCCAGATTCCCAATAATTTTGCCTCCTCTGGGAGTAGCAAGAAGGAGTAGGGATGCTGTGGAAGAAGCTAGAACTTCTCAGAGTCTGTGCTTCTGGGCCTGTGCTTTTCAAAGATGCTGCCAGTCCTCAGGATAGCATCACAACCCGTCGCCTAATTAGGCAAATACAAACAAACCCATCACTGATGTTTTCAGCAGCTCATGAGAGCAAAATCCTGCTGCTGATAGCTTGCAAGACAACAAAACATAAGCTCCAGCCAAGATGCCTGCAGGAGACCAGGGACTAATCACAGGACAGCGGGATCCAGAGGCTGGGCTGGAGGGGCAGGGGCACTGCGCCAGCTACATTGAGCACAGCGGCAGGGGGAGGGCTGGACTGGAACCCATTTCCAGCCCCTTGCCCTGGCCCTGGGGAGAGTCGGCTTAACTTACCTGGGCTCCTTCCCAAAGCCCAGCAGAGGGCAGGAAGGGCGGGCAGGAAGGGAGGAGGTGTCTCGGGGTACGGCTGATTGCCTCAGAGGATCTCTGGCCAAGGCTGAACAGCTGTGGTGGGCAGGGCCATCGATTGCACCATGAGCACGATGCTGGCATGAAGATATGAGCCTAAAGGGCTCAGCCGCAGGGGAAGCACCCAGACAGGAAGGATCGCAGCTACCTGCACTGACCAATGGGTGCTGGCAGCCCTGTACAGCCCCCTTACTCCAGGGAGCCCTGCCTCACCTCTGGGAGAGAGAGGGAGGGGCCTTAGAGCTTCACTATTTCATCCAAGGTAGATATGTCCTCTGCGTATAATCAGTGAACCTCTAAACATAGCCAGTGACAGGAACCTCACTACCACCTCTCTAGACCCTTGTTGGACACCTCAAATCCTTAAAATATTACCAAGCATTTCCTCATTTTAATGCTGCCCACTGGTGCTGGACTGCCCAGGGAGCTACATGAGCACTTCTAACTCAACTAAGAGAGCTATGGAAAAGCTGTGCATGTCCCTCTGTCCGTCTCTGTCTCACTTACTGAAGCCTTAGTTTTCTCTTTGAAAAGTCAACATTCCCAGGACCTCCCCAGTGGCACAGCGGGTTGAGCGCAGCACTGTGAAGCTGTCCACAGCCTCTGCAGCACGGGTTCGATTCCTGGCCAGCCGGGTAGAGTCCCACATGGCGCAGCAGACCTCTCCTGTCTCGCCCGCTGCTCCCCTCAGCAGTGGATTTCAATCTGCCTGTTCTGTTCCCCGCTCTGTCTGGTGAATCCTCTCACCCTTCTGCTCCTCTGGCCTGTACCCCAGCTCTTGTATAAATAAATTAAAATCTTTTTTAAAAAGTCAACATTCCCAATCCTCTACCCCTATGGCACATTACTGAGAATTCACTCTGTCCCGGTGAAGGTCCTTCAGACAGAGGATCAGGGAGGGGCTGCCAGAGCCCTCTCTCTAAGGAAAGAAGGGAACCAAGACAGGGAGATGTACCCCATTAGTACTTGGGGGTGGGGGCCGCAGGGCTTGGGTAAGGGGGTAGATAGAAACAGATCCTGATGGGAACAACTAAAGAGGTTTGGGTCCAAAACCTGGGTATTTATATTCAACCCACCGTAGCGGTAGGAAAACTGATTAATGATGTATCATTCTAAGCTTTTATTTATCTATTCTTCATCGTCAGTGGTATAAGGGCCCCAAATTCCTAAGTATCCTGTGTGCCTCCTAAGCGCTTAATCAGGCCCTAGGGTCTGGGTAGTAGTGGGCATGACAAGAAGAGGGCTGCTCAGAGTTCAAAGTGGGCTCTGCAGGGCTGGCTCTCCATTTCTACTGCCTGCCATCTGGAAACAAAACTTTCCCCCAGGGCCTCCCTGGTAGCTCTAGGGGTTAAGACGCAGCGCTATGAAGCCATTCGCAACCACTGCAGCATGAGTTCGATCCCCGGGCAGGGAGCTACCCCACATGATGCTGCAGACCTCTCCTGACTCACCCGCTGCTCCCCTCAGCAGTGTATTTCAGTCAGTCTGCCTGTTCTGTTCCCCACTCTGTCTCTGGCGAATCTTCTCACCCACCACACCTCTGGCCTGTACCCCAGCTCTTGTATGCATAAATAAATAAATCTTTTAAAAAGAAAAAAACTTTCCCCCAAAACCCTCTTGATCCTTTTCCCAGTATTTCTCTGTTCTCTTCCTTCTCTCTCCCTCTTACTCGGTCTTCTCTCTGTGAATCCCAGCCTGGATCTCCTGTCTCCTTTTGTGTCTCTTTATCAAAATGCAAGTTGGCTTGGGCAGCCACAGTGCTGAGCAGATCACTCTCCTGAATAATAACCCTGCTGTGTCTGTCTGCACTTTGCATTTCCATCTCTGCTCTCGCCTTCCCTCTCTACTATCACCACCCAACATTCCTAAACCTGAAACCAACTGTACTTATTCACACACTGCCTAACACCCTGGAAAACTCTCCCTCCTGTGCCCTGGTGCTGCCAACCTCTGAGACCAGCCCCTGCCCAGATGCCCCCCACTCCAACGCTCTGACTCCTCCAACCCCAGCCTGCCCCCCCTCAGTGTTCCTCTGTCTCCACAGGTTACCCACAGTACCTGGTGGTAGGCAACCACCTGTCAGGGGAACATCACCTGAAGATCCTGCGGGCAGAGCTGCAGGATGATGCCGTGTACGAGTGCCAGGCCATCCAAGCCGCCATCCGGTCCCGCCCGGCGCGCCTCACCGTCCTGGGTAAGCACTGTCTACACGTGGGGTGAGGATGCTGTGAGGAGCATCCTGGAATGGGATCCAGCCAGACCAGAGGGGCCTCCGAGGCATTGTCCCACAGGGTTTAGCCACCGCTATCCCCTTGCGTCTGTGCCCGCCCGCCCCCACCAGAAGGGAGAAAATGGAACCTCGTGCCCTAGAAGTCAGAAGGCCAACACTAACTGACCCATGACCCTGCCCAACCCCAGAGTGTTTGGTTCCAGCTTTGGGAGCTAACCATGGCTCCTGCATGCATCCATGTTCCATCAGAAAGCATGTCAGCACATGAATCTGTGTCAGGCCCTGGGCTAGGCAGCAGAGACACAGGAAGAATGTGACACATCCTGAGTCCCTGCTTTCTGCCTTGACTACCCTCTGGGTGCTAACAAAGGCTGATCGAGTCACCTCCCCTGGGAACCAGCCCTGTGCTCGAGTCTCCCTGTGATTCAGCACCCAGGGAACCTGTTTTTTCCCTAGCCTCCACTGTTCCTGGGGAATCCTGACTCTCAGGTGGAGAACTGGATGCCAGGTTAGCCCTCGGAAAGTTCCTGAAAGGAACTAAGTCAGTTCTTAAGTCAGCACTCCTTATTCCAAATCATACCAATGGCTTTCTTTATCTCTGCTTCCTAGAACAGACGGGGAATGGGCTTGACTATACTTTCAACTGCCTCCTCCAGATTTAGAGTTCAGCCCCTGTCAGCTCCTTCCTGCAGCCAGATGCTAGTGAAGAGCAAGGTGGCTGGGAACCAAGCCTCACACACGAATAATAATAGACACACTTGCATAGCTCTCAAGGCAGCTGGCAGCTCTCAGTTCAGCTTCACTCATACTACCTGGGCTGGTCTGAAGCAAGGTTGTCAGACAGGGATTGTTGTTCCACATGGAAACTGAGGCTCAGAGGTGCAGAGGGCCAGGCCCACGTCTCCTGGCCAAGGGCCCTTGTGCCCTCACTGTCTCTTTTGTGCCAGGCAGCATGTGGGATGGAGCAGGCAGACAGAAGAGGGAAGTCCCCATCCTGCCCCCCTGCCTCTTAGCAGCTGGTGTGAAGTTTTGACAACAGGGTCAGCAGCAGGGAGTGCTGCCTTCTTGCCTAGTAGATAAGGCACACGGCAGCTCCAAGATGAAATATTTAAGAGTGTGTCAGGTCATCTTGGATCTGCACAGCCAAACACAAGGGGCAGATTGTCCCAAACTAGGCAGCGGACAGGCCCCAGAGGATCATTTCCCAAGCTTCTTGCAATGGGAAGAGGAGCCAACCTCAGAAGCCTCCCTTAACATTTGAATGTCCTCTGGCTTGTGATGAAGAAAATGAGAAAATAACAGTATGATGGGTCCTGCCACAACGGTATGACGCAAACTGGAATTGCGTGGTCAAGAAGTAGCCTTCAGAAAAGGAACTGGGCCATTAAAGGGCTGTCTTTGTCCAGCCCATGTTAGTGGCTAAAATAGGGACAGGGTTACAATTTGGCGTGGGGCTTGAGGGGGAAAAGACAGTTTAATGCCTGGCATGTCTTCTGATTCTCAGGGGTTACAAAATGCCCAAACAGATTTACTAAGCAAAGTAGGGGGGGGATCTTCTTCACCTTCAGAGGATGCTCAGTCCCCCACCACCCTATCCCCCCACCCCTGCTATCTTAAGAAGAATCTACCTTCTGCTGGTCTACCCCTTCTAGAAGCTACCAAAGAATGCTAATATCAGAAGAACCTGTGAGTTGGTTGCTCCCAACCTCACACAGGGCCTAAAATAGATGGAGACCCAGCATGGGTCCTTAACTTCTGGTCCTCATGTCAGAACATCACGCAGTCATGCAGAAGGAGCATTTACAGCTTCTTTTCTCTCTACTATTGCAGATACATAACAAAGTCCAAATGATTCCAAATGTTTTTGCAGATGAGGAAATTGAGACTCAGAGAGGCAAAGGCACTCACAAGAGGTCACACAGCTTAATTAAATCTCAAAGTAGACCCCAGATTTTTCAACTACTAACCACAGCTGTCCAGGCTTCTAAATGCTGGCAGAATCTCCTATGTATGCCTGGTTATGAACCGGGCTTCTGAGAGCAGGCCTCAAGAGCTGGTCTGAATAGACTCAATTTTGTCTCTGGCCACCTCTAAAAGCCTTCAGTCCCCCTCCCACTCTCCAGTGGCAGGCCTGGAGCTCCTTCTGGGCAGAACTGGGGGGGTGGGATGGGGGGTGGCAGGGAGGAGGACAGAAGAGGCAGGGGGCAGAGGGGAGGGGAGGGGACAGGAGGGTAGTTTCAAGTCTGGAGATCATTCAAAGAGGGGGACAGAGTTTGCAATGGGGGCCCCTCAGACAACCTGGGAGCAGAGCAGGCATCTTGTCCATCATTTTCCATGCAAACTCCACAAATATCCGTTCTCCCAAGTGAACTAAACCCTGAGCCAGAGACAGCTTGAGGTCCCCACACCCTAGCAGGCCTGCAGGTCCCTGCCCACCAGCTGCTGTCCTGCAGGTCCCCATTCCCCCCAATTCACCCTGTGGGCTCTGCCAAGGTAAACCAGCCTAGCCAAGTTTCCCTGGTGTACAGCCCCACCTACTGCCCTGGAGAGAGACCCTGCACAGAAGCTAACCCAGCCGGCTGGAAAGGAAACCCTGGTCTATTCACAGTGGTGGATAAAAGAACGGCTGTTCCAGCAGAGGGGACAAGGGTGTTTCTACTCTAGCCAGCCGGTTTCCCAACCAAGACCCCATCTGCTTTGCTGTGACATCTCAGCCCGGGAAAATGTCCCAGCCGGTTCCCCAAGGGAGGGCTGCCTTCCCTGTGTTCCAGGAATGAGAGAGCTTCCTAATTTAGTCTGTATTTGCCTGCGATAGATTTTTAATTAAATAAAGTAAGAGCCTGATTAGAACCTGCACAAGATGTGAGAGCAAAATCAGATGGTATTCTAACAAAATTGCAAAGCAAACACTTTGGCTGGAACAGAGGGAGACCCCGGAGGTCTTCCATCAAAACACCAAGCGAGGAGGGCAAATACGAGAGATTATATGGCCAACAGATGTGCACTGTTAAAATATGCATCTGCCTGCAGCTTGCTTGGAGAAGCCAGGGGGCCAGCTCACAGAGTCGGCCTGCTCCAAGGAAGGCATGGGGCCCCAGACCCAGCAGCCAAGCCTGGAGTCACAGACACATTAATTAGCATTGTGTTTCCAACTCTCAGATGCAATCAGGCTAGGAGCAAGTTTGAGACTTTGCAACGCTGGGGGGCGGGGAGGGAGGGGACTAAGAAGGAATGAAGGTGGAGAAACTGAGCTTGAAAAACTGAGCAAGCAAAGGCTGGGGAGCCCCAGTTCAGGCCAAAGGTCAGACTGCATTCCCTCTGTGACCCACCAGCTGCCAAGAACCAGACTTTGACTCAGAGCAGGTCCAGACAGGTGTCTTTCCACCCTCAAGAATCATGGTATCACGGTCAGAGCAGCAGATTTGGAGGCAACAGTCTTGGTCCTGCATTAACCAGCTGTGTGATCTTGGCCCTATTGCTCAGCCTCTCTGGGTCTCAGTTTCCCCAGCTGTCAAATAAAGGCAGTGATAAATAATAGAAAGTCGAAGAACTATCTGTCTATCTCCCAAATGGCCTTGATTTCCACAGTAAGGGGTCCAACCTTACTATTTTAAGAAATTGTTCCACCCCTACTAGCACAGAATTTGTGTGGACTGAGGCAGAGAAGGCAGCTGATTTTTTTAGACAGCATCCCACTTTTAGACAGCCCTGTCTGCAAAGACTCAGCTAAGCTGGATGTCCTATGACCCCAAGCACATGTGCAGAGCTGTGGCGGAAGAAGAGTCCAGGGCTGGGAAGTAGAACACCTGCTCGCTGCTTACTCACTGTGTGAGCTTCGGGCTAGCACTCCTGGCTCAACTCTAACCAGCACTTAGTACAGAGTAGGTAGTCAATAATACTTGGGTTATTTTTTTTTTAATAAAGGAATGAGTTGAGTGGGTGAATGGGGTTTCTGCTTATTCATCTATTAAGTGGGGATAATAAAAATACTAATCTCCTAGAGTTGTTAACATCAAACACACACACACATACACACATACACACACACACACACACACACACAATGCTCCTTGTCCTACCTACAGGAATCCGTGGTTGAAACATATCAGAGCTGTAAGGATGGTGATATTGAGCTTAGTCTTCTAACTGTCTGGAATCAGGGAGAACAAGACACTGGGAAACCCAGAGCAAGGAGGGGGAATGGGTGCCAAGGAGTTGATCAGTGAATATTTACTGAGTACACGTTAAGTGCCCAGCACTGGTCTAGGCACTTGCGATCCATCAGCAAGCTAGCGCAAGCCTCCCCACCCCCTCATAGAGCCTGTCTTCCTGCAGGCAGATCAGATCAATAAGTAGTAAACAGATTAAGTGAGTACATTGTGTAGTTATGTCCAATGTCAGATGGCAACTAACACTATGAGAAAGAGAAAGTAGAGCAGGGTAAAGGGGCTTGGAAGTGGCAGGGGAGGGGAGGCTGATGTCACATTCATTATTAAACAGGGTATTTTCCCAGTCTTCTTCTCCATTTCCCTCTTCTTCCTGGCCTGTTCTAATATTAACTCTGCTGTCGTGTGGCTCCCATTAGAAACAAAGCTTCCTAAATCAGCATGAATTATTTAACGGTGGAGACTGAGTCAATTCAAATAAAGAGGGTGTCTTTTTAAATGATGTCAAGCCCCTATACTGAGAGGGGCAAAGGAATAAGGTCCCTGTGTCCTTATCTTGTGTGTCTCAAACTACAGGATCCGTAGGGGAACGGCAGGGCCAAAATCTCCTGAGTTCTCGGCGTTGGCAGCACCCCTAATTCCAGTCCCCTAATCTGGATCGGTGAGCCCGGAGAGAAACTGAATAATTCAGCTCTCCAGCAATGAAAGGCAAAGCTGAAACACAGCCTGAGATCCCTGGCTTCTAAAACCGTCTTTCAGAAAATGGTGGTGAGATTCCCACCCACACCTGGTCAGCAG